GAGGTGCCCAGGAAAAGCCAAGTTGTGAACCAAGGCTGGCTGCTTCTAGTGCCAGGCCTGGGGCCACTTAACGAGAAGAATGGGGCTTGCTGAGACCTGATGCTGCATATTTGAGAGATTTTAGGAAACTCTGAAGCAGGATCCAAGATAGGACAATCCTATGGTAAAGCCTTTGGAAACAGCTTGAGTGGGCCCAAATATTCGGTGGGGTGGGACCTCAGGGAATCAACAGGGTGGAGCAAGTAGTGTGAGCCAGGTTGCTGGAGTCCCAGATATGGAGGCCATCTGCACCCTAGGAAAGGCTCACCAAAAGCACATCAGCCTCTGCCAACATGTCTGTCCAGGAGAAAGCTGCCAAAGAGGGCCTTTCTTTGGATTTATCAAGTTAGGGATTTGCTAGGGACCTAATGAGTAACAGTTTCAGGAGGGCAATAGGGTGGAAATTAGATAAAGAGAGAAGTTAGATGAGGAGAGACTCTGAGATAAAGATGAGAAACTAGCAAAAATAGAGTCCTCTGCCCTGGCCGGTTTGGCTCAGCGGTTAGAGCGCCGGCCTGCGGTCCTGAGAGACCCGGGTTCGGTTCCCGCTAAGGGCGCGTACCTCGGTTGTGGTTTGTCCCCGGCTCTGGTCAGTCGTGCGGGTGGCAGCCACTCGATGTGTTCCTTTCACATCGATGTTTCTCTCTCTCTCTCTCTGTTCCTCTCTCTGCCTCCCACTCTACCTGAACAAAAAATGGAAAAATGTCCTCAGGTGAGGATAAAAAAAAAAATAATGGAGTCCTCTTATCTGTAAATTTACCAGTGAAAAGGGAAAGAAAGAGATGGTAACCTTTAGGGTGTCCAGTACTAAGGAAAGGGGATTTTTGTTGGTTTTGTATTAAAGGTAGGAAAATTGTTTGTTTTGGGAGAAAGAAGAGATGGAAGAGAAAAAAAGGTGGGAATAGGATCAAGATCACAGGTTAGCTTGGGAAAGATTGAAGCAGTTTTTCCACTGAGTATGGTTGGTAGGAGGTAGTACAGACAGGAGAGCATGGGATTTTGAAAGTGCAGGGAGGGATATCTATGCTGCTCTCCTTATTGAAAACAAACCAAACCCTTCCAGGCTGCTCTTGGACGGAGAATCTTTTGTTAGCACTGCTGCTGACTCTAACTTTTCCCTTGTGATAACTGCTGACCAGTAACTGCTACCTCTGCCACGGTGGTCTGGGCTAGGGCAAAGGAAAACCACCTCTACCCGGTACCCAAATGGGACCATTTTCTGAAGCCCAGAAGACTGCGAAGGCTTGGGAGGGGGTGGTGGTAGCCAAGCCAAGACCTGAGGAATAGGAGTTGACAAGGCAAAGGGAGATTTGGTTGGGGAGGAGGAGAGTGCATTCTAGGCAGAAGGAACACATGTGCAAAAGCCTATTCTTTTTTTTTTTTTTTTATCCTCACCGAGGACATTTTTCCATTTTTTGTTCAGGTAGAGTGGGAGGGAGAGAGAGGAAGAGAGAGAGAGAGAGAGAAACATCGATGTGAAAGGAACACATCGAGTGGCTGCCACCCGCACAACCGACCAGGGCCAGGGACAAACTGCAACTGAGGTACGCGCCCTTAGCGGGAACCGAACCCGGGTCTCTAAGGACCGCAGGCCGACGCTCTAACCGCTGAGCCAAACCGGCCAGGACGCAAAAGCCTATTCTTGAGAGGGTATGGGACATGTTTGGGATTGCAGGTTGTTCAGCAGGCTGGGTATAGGGTTCAAAGTGTTAAGAGATAAAGAAAATGAGGGAAAGATCATGAAAGGTCTTGCATACCATGTTGGGGAAGCTGAAATTTATTCAGAGGGTTCAGAGGAGCCATCAAAGAGTTTTAAGTGCGGGAAGTGACCTGTGTTTAGAACCACATCTTAGGAAAATGACTCTGCCTGCAGCATGGAAAATAGTTTGGAGGAAGATAAGACTGGGGGCAGGGAAATGAATTAAGAAACAATTGCAGACATTTATTTGATAGATGATGGTGGCTAAAATTAAGATGATGGCCAAGGGAAGAGAGGGAAGTAGAGAAATTGAAGATTGAAGAATTAAGAAAAGATATTGAAGAATTAAGTAATTAGTGCATTGTGAGGGCTTAAGAGTGATAGAGGAATGAAACATGACAAATTTTCTGTCTTGGACACCTGAGATGTGAGATATAGGAATAGTGAATACAAGTTAAAGGGGAATGAGTTCAGTTTTGGACATACTGAGTTTGAGATGTCTGTAGGATGCCCAAGTGAAGGTGTCCAATAGGCAGATATATCAGTTTATATGTCTGCAGAAAGATCCGAACCTTAAATATAAATTTGTGAGTTATTTGTGTTGCATAGATAAAATTACTCAGAGGAATTGAAGAGAGTAAGCAGATGGAACTCTGAGATAGGTCCTCATTTAGGGAACATAATTGGGGAACGGGGCTTTAGGAGACTAAGAAAGAGCAGCCAGAAACAGGGAGGAAAATTGGAGGGTCATGAACCCAGATAATCTGCTTTGCAAAGTAACAGCTTGATCTCAGTGGCATTCACATTCTATCTGGAAATCTATTTCTTGGTTTTAGTCTCCTTCCACTTGGGGTAGGCCATCTTTTACACCTGCTAGCCAACAAGAGTTTGCAGACTTCTAGGTATTCTGAAGTTCAAATCAAAAGAAGATGATCCCTTTCCTCTCCCCCACCTTGCATTTCCTGGCATCATCTTTCCTGGATGAATGACACTGGAGATCTCACCCTATTCACAGGCAGATCTTACTTACCCTTTCAGATTATACCCTCCCCCTCCCCCACCCAGGGAGATAACTATCAGAATACAATAGGATACCCATAACCTCCTAGCAAGAAATTGACACACAGTAATGGACAGGGAAAGGGCAGTCTTTATTTCTTAATAGGCAGTTAAGGAACAGACAGTAAAGAGTGGTTTGCAAGGAGACCTGGGTTCAGATCCTAGCTCTCCTGCTTACAAGGTGGGTATCATTTGTTAGGTTACTTAGTCCTGCTAATATCAGTTCTATCACCTATAAAATGAAATAATAATGCCTCATGAGGAGTAAATGATGGTGTTGCACGATTCATCAGCACACATGCCCATTTCTTATTTGTTAAAGAGGGAATATTTTTATTCACAGGCCACGTTTAGGTGGTCCCAGGAGGCATGCTTTTCTTTGACAGTGTCAGCAATCCTACCCCTTCTTGTCTCAAGTGCCCTACTCCCATCTGGGAGGGAATCAACAGCCAAGAGAGTCTTTGCCAAGGTCACGGACTCCCCTAAGGACACACAGCAGAGGAAACTACACCTCCAGAAGCCCTGAATTTCTCTTGTTTTTTATTATGGCCTAAAAGAAGACTGCTAACTCACCACTGATGAGCTCTAACCTGTGTGGAAGCCAAGAGTGGTCCAACCCTCTGCATATTAGTAATGGGTTCTACAGGGAAAATATTTTTTTCTCATTTATTTCAGGGCAATGGGAAACAACATGATTATGTTGTAATATGAGGGAAACACATTAACAAAATAATGCAGTCTGTGAAAGGACCAGATTCTAAAAGGGTTGTCAGATTCAGAGGGAGACTGTGGATGCTTTGGAGTACTAGCTCAGACTAGTTTGGAAGCCAATCAGATGCAATTCAAAGGATAGTTTTGTTATTCCGAGTGATGATTTTTAGTGATTCCAGCTGCACTGGGAGCCATAGGCTGCCTCTAGAAGAGCTATGTCATGGCACTGACAAATGTTTCACCAGGGAGCTAAGGAACGACTTGGGTCAAGTGAAAAGCCACTTGGTTAGCCACCTGCCACTGCACCTGAGCAGTTCTCTGTTGGCTGGTGCAATCCAGTGGTGAGCTGAAACTAAACCCCAGCTTAGGAAACAGGGTTATTCTTCATGTGGAGGAGTCTGTGCTGAAAGCAAGGGGACAACCTGGAAATGGCTGAGGGAGGACATTATGTGGTCTGCTTTGGCCTTGGGCTGTGACAAAGCTATTGCTGTTTATTTTTTCCCCCCTACAAATAAATTTATATTTTAAAAAAAACCACTTGGACAAGTGTGAAGTAGGGAAGGCATGTTCAGAGGTCAGAGAATAAAGACTAGAGGTTTAGCCCTGGCTGGTTTGGCTCAGTCATTAGAGCATCGGCCCGTAGACCAGAGAGTCACAAGTTCAATTCCTGGTCAAGGGCATGTCCATGGGTTGCAGGTTTGATTCCTGGTCCCAGTCAGAGTTGTGTGGGAGGCGGCCAATTGATGTGTCTCTCTCACATCGATATTTCTCTCTCTCCCTCCCTCCTTTCCACTCTATCTAAAAATCAATGGAAAATATCCTTGGGTGAGAATTTAAAAAAAAAAAAGACAAGATTTAGCAGTAAATGCCAGACCGTTGGCTAAGGGCAGGCATTGCCTGCCACAAATTTCAAACCATGAGACTTGGTCAGCTTCTCTGGCCTTTGTTCTCTCCATCAGTAAAGTGACAGCCATGTACTAGATGATCTTTTAGATTTCCTCCAACCCCAAACTTTGTATTTTATAATTCTAAGTTTGTTTGACTTAGTTCATAGACTTGCTCTACATGATAGTGCCAAATGTACTTTTTATTTTAGGACTCTCTAGCCTCAAATTATCTCAGACAAATTAATAAGGCAAGAAATTTAGAATTATAGCCTTGGGACTCAATAAATCAAAAAATTCTTCCAAACTTATCATGAGCGTTGTTTCTTATGAATTTACTACAATATTTTCAGATGGAAATATTTTGTGTATGACAGTGTTCTGGAGGCTGCTGATATGTAGAGGCTGAATATAAAGTCTGAAATTTTAATCTTTTTCTAGATGATGGTTCCATATGTAAATGCATAAGTTGAGTACTGCTGTGCCTCAAATTCTCTTTAGGCTCCACTCATGATATACACTAGTCCTAAGGTTATATAAGCTATGGTCATGATATCATTAGTTTTCCCCTGGTAAAAGGTTAAGTTCCTAATTTTCTCCTATTACAGTTTTGCACCTGCAGTAGAACTCAAGGAAAAAGGAAGGAAAGGCAAAGCAGTTCACTTTGCTGAAATTGACGGCACTGCTTCAGACAGGTATGTTAACTTCCCACCCAGGAGAGCACCTCTCAGCGGAAGGGGCTAGGCCTTGATAGACTCAGGGAAAATATCAGCCCCTTTCTCCTAGGTTGAAATGCAAATGCCAATCAAGTAAAGAACATGCACTATTTTATAATTATGGTGGGAGTTACAATAGTCCCTATAGATATATCCCTGTGATAATTTGCCTATTAGCAAATTTTTTAAATCTGAAAATGGGCCGGTGTGGCTCAGTGGTTGACCCATCACCGGGTGGATTCCCAGTCAGGGCACATGCCCAGGTTGTTGGCCTGATCCCCAGTGGGGGGCATGCCAGAGGCCGCCAGTCAATGTTCTCTCTCATCGATATTTCTATCTCTCTCTCCTTCTCACTACCTCTCTCTGTAAAATCAATGAAGGAAAAAGAAAAAAAAATTTTGATCTGAAAATGTCATTTACACCATAAATAGATTGTTTAAATGATCTATTTTGCATGTAATTGGTCTTTACACTTTATGTCAGGCAGTGTGCATTCCTCCTAGCTGTAATATAGTATATATAATGTTTAATAAAACATATTCTGAAGTGATCCTACCTTAAACAAAATCCAAGCATGAGACTTAGGCTCTTGTTACTTTATTGTAAAAGCCTCATGCACCTAAGGATAGAGTAAATACAACTAAAACCTTTCAAAGCAATATAACTAGAGACTGTTATATTCTAAAACAGGTTGACAGATAAAAGATTCGCCTCAAGAGATGCTAAGTCACTTCAAGCCTTAGAGAAACGAGGTCAGCAGGGCAACGTTACACTGAATGATGTTAAATGTGAGTAACTGCTTCCTAATCCTTTTTTCTTATCTGGTGTGAACCACTAAGGCAGCTCTTTCAATTGTCAATCTTCTTCTTCTTTTTTAGTTGTTGCTTTGCTTTTGCTACAAGAGACTGAGATGCAGCGGATCTGTTCTTTTACAACATTTATGAGGTATGTAATGCTTGTGAGACATTTTCGATCTTTTTATCTTTTATTTTGAAGTAATTCTATCTAATAAAGGATGACAAATTGGATTTTTGGAGAAAGGCCATGGGGCTGGCTCTATGCAAGCCATCCTCTCAGGACCCAGGCCAAAGAGAGGAATCCAGAAGTCACAGGAGCCGACGATAAAGTTCCAGGGCAAGGAATGTGAAGAGCATATTGTCAGAGTTCCATAAAGGCTGCCCTATATTTGTATAATAATTAAAGGATATACTCATTTACTAAGATCAGTTTTCTCCATTAGTTGGCAGCCCCAACACGTACTGTGTGCCTCTGGGTGAGCTTCTTGGTCTTTCTGAGCCTCAGGTTCCTCAGACGGTGTCTCGTGGCTGTTAATGGAAAGGTGCTTCACGCGGCGCCTGCACTTGTGAGTGCTCCATGAGAGCTGGGTTCCCAGCGCTGTATCCCTCCTCATTCAGTGAAGGCTGCTTTGGCAAACACCTGACATGTTCTGCCTGAAGCTTTATTCCATGATAGGAGCACGCTCAGCCTGACTACAGGGCAAGCAAGGAGTTTGAGGAAATCTGCCCCAGAAGCAGCCTTCAGTCTGACGTGCCAGAGAGAGTTGGTAGATGAATATCCCAGCTTCCATTTATCAGGATAACTTCAGGAGGTTTTCTGCAGTGTCTCCCAGGGTCCCCTACAGGACTGAACTTCATTTGTCTACAGTGATAATGAACTTGTTAACCCCTTTGTTGGCTTCCTTCTCTTTCCTATCTCACTTTCTCACTTGCCTACTGCTGGTTCCTGAGATCTCTTCCTAAGTAAACTACTTACTCTTAAATCTTTTCTCAGGGTTGGTTTCTGGGAGAACCCAACCTAAGACAGGCAGTTATTAATATCCTGAAAAAAACCCTGCAATGCTCACCTTCATCCTGCTCTCAAGGTATATAATTAAGGAAAGCATGTCAGAGTAAGAATTTCCATTTGGGGTTAGAAAGGAAGCAGCAAAAGTCTTGTAAGAATATTTAGAAAGAAAACAGTGACTTCTAATATAAAAACAAATGAGAAAGGATTGTAAATCAGTGCGGCGTTTTTGGAGAGCAAGACTTATGAAACTTTAATATGCGTATATACTGTCTTAGCAATTTCACTTAGGGAGTTACCCAGAGATATGGTTATAAGGATAATTACTGAAGTAATGTCTATTATATATATATATATATACATATATATATATATATATATATATTTATATATATATATATTTTTTTTAATCTTCACTCGAGGACATGCTTTTTCATTGATTCTAGAGAGAAAGGAAGGGAGAGAGAGAGAGAGAGGGAGGGAGAGAGAGAGAGAGACAGAGAGAGAGAGAGAAAGAAACATTGATCAGTTGCCTCCGGTATGTACCCTAACCAGGGATTGAACCCATAATCTGAATGGGAATGAAACCCTTTTGGTGTACAGGATGATACTCCAACTAACTGAACCACCTGGCCAGGGCATGTCTATAATATTTTTAAAAGACCTTAATATCCATCAGTAGAGGGCTAGTTACATAATTATGAGATGTAGAATACTTTATTCAGCTGTTTAAAAGAGTGAGGAAAATCTATACATGGAAGGAAGTCCTTGCTAAACAGATGTAAGTGACAAAAACAAGTTGTAAAGATTTGTGTATACAGCATTATCCTGTTTGTTACAAAAAATTAAGGCAGCCCTGGCCAGTTTGGCTCAGTGCTTAGAACGTGGGCCCTCGGACCAGTGAGTCGCAGGTTCGATTCTAGTCAAGGGCATGTACCTTGGTTGCGGTTCACCCCCAGCCCTGGTCAGGTCGTGCAGGCGGCAGCCACTTGATGTATCTCTCTCACTTCGGTGTTTCTCTCTCTCTCTCACCCTCCCCCTTCCACTCTATCTGACGATAAATAGAAAAAGTATTCTTGGGTGAAGATTGAAAAAAAAAATTAAGGCATATTCATGCATATGTGTGTGTGTAGGTAGTAGGGGTGACTTATATGTGATTGTCTATGTTTTAGAAAGTTTAGGAAGGATTCATAACAAACTCATAATAGTAGTTACCATCAGGGAATAGGATGGTAACAGAGGGGTGAGAGGAGAGAACTTTTTACTTGCTACATTTATGTCCATTTTTTAAACAATGGAAAAATATAACTTGTATAATATAAACTTTAAAACTTAAAACTAATTGATAGGAAAAACTTATCAATTTGTTATTAATTATTAAAATGATAATATAATTTCTGACCTTTCAAAAAGTTTTGTTTACAATATTATATTTTTCATACTCTGATTTCTCTTCAGACCACATAAATCTTTTGCCTTTTACAACAATCAGATCCCTTACATCTTCAACAGTATATTAGTAGAATTTTAAATGAGAAATTAAGTTGTATGATAGGCATAATAAATTTCTGTTTATTATGCTGTGTGTTCATATATATTTTATGAGAAACTTATATTTGAAATATTTTAGTGTTAATATCTTTTTTTTTTTTAAAATCTCCCCGAAGGAATAAGAATCTTGATAATTTCTTCATGGCATTATTGTACTATTTATCTCATTACTTGGAAAAAAGTGCACTGGAAAAGAAGCCCAAAAGTTACATGGTGTAAGTAGGATTTTGTAATGAACTTTAGAGTTTTATCATTGCCAGTATTAAAACTAACCTTTGTCTAGGATGAAGAGGTGATGGAAAATTTTAAATCTTTGTGGTAAACTAAAACGTTTTACATGGGAAGAGTTCACTAGTTTTTAAAGCTCACTGAATAATTCAGATGGATATTGTGGTAACAAAATATTCCAAATAATATAGACCAGCTCTGCCCAAAAGAAATATAATTAGAGCCACATGTAATTTAAAAGTTTCTTGTAGCCATATTTTTATTTATTTATTCATTTATTTATTTATTTATTATTTTTTTTATCCTCACCCGAGGACATTTTTCCATTTTTGTTCAGATAGAGTGGGAGGGAGAGAGAGAGAGAAACATTGACGTGAAAGGGACACATCGAGTGGCTGCCACCCGCACGACCAACAGGGCCGGGGACAAACTGCAACCGAGGTACGCGCCCTTAGCAGGAACCAAACCTGGGTCTCTCTGGACCGCAGACCGACCCTCTAACTACTGAGCCAAACTGGCCAGGACTAGTAGCCATATTTTTAAATGTAAAAATATTCAAGTGAAATTAATTTTAATATATTTTATTTAATTCAGTGACTCAAAAATATCATTATAATATGCAGTCAACATTAGATAGTTATTGATGAAATAATTTACTATTTTTTGTAGCAAGTCTTTGAAAGTTGGTATCTATTTTATGCTTATCTCAATTTAGACTAGTCTCAGTAAGTGCTTAATAGCCATATTGTAGCTCATGGCTACCATAGTGGACAGTGCAGATATAGATATTATTTGTATGCTTTTTATATTTACAAAGTTCTGGCTTCAGGGTTTGTAAGCATCTAATTAAAAAACTAAGAATTAAAAAATTAATAGATTTAACCAAAATAATATTCCATGTCACAGGATACCCCCCCCCCACACACACACACAATTCTTTAGGCTATATATGAAGAATTTAACTGCTTTAGACAGAGTTGGTTCAGAGCTATACACCCAGGGCAAGAATCTGGAATTCAGAGTCCAGAGCAGAACAATGCCTCTCTGGCTTGGTGATCTTTCAAAGCCATGGAACTTTCCAAGTGCCCAGCCTGCCCTTTCCAGTACATGTGGAACCAACCCAATGATTTAGCTGTTAGGAATGCTGGTAGAGTCATTAATCTGTTGCTGCAGAATGTTTTCAAAATGCAAAATCCTTGTATACAACCAAGCATAAAATCTGATTTTATGGATAGATAAATGTATCTGGACAGTTGTTTTGTAAAGAACCAAATAAATAATTCATACACTGCTGCTTCAGTTAAGCCGTCATAATATGCAACATTCAAGTTATTTCAGGGCTGCATTTCACAGAAATTTTAAAGTGTTTCTGTGGGAGCTAGCAAAAGGGCTCAAGCCAACTGTGGGCTCAGGAGGTTTGAGGAGTCTTACTATTCCCCAAAAGAAAATTAGATTTCTGTGACATGTTAGCTTACATGTTGTGTGATGTTTTCTCTTTGAATTCTGAGGATTATTGTTAATATAGCAGAGAGATTTGTTTCATTTCTTCTTTTTTTTAATCCTCACCCAAGGATATTTTTCTATTTATCTTCAGATAGAGTGGGAGGGGGAGGGAGAGAGAGAGAGAGAAACATTGATGTGAGAGAGGAGACACATTGACTGGCTGCCTCCCGCATGACTCCGACCAGGACCAGGAACCGAACGGCAACCACGGCATGAGCCCTCAACTGAAATCAAACCCAGGACTCTTTGGTCCACAGGCTGATGCTCCAACCGCTGAGCCAAACCAGCCAGGGCTAATATCTTAATCTGTAGGTATAAATAACAGAAGAAAGGTTTCTTAGTTATTTTAAAAATTCACTGAAACTAAGTAGAACACAGTGGCATGAGGTAGGCTTTCTTAGAAGGAATCAGTTACAGAATGATAGAGAAAAAAACAACACTCTCTATTGAGCACACCTGCACCTTCCCCCTACCTTCTTTCCTCGGGCATGTTTCTTTGCATTCTTTCTCCCAAGCTCCAAGGGTTCCCATGAGACTTGCACCCAGGGGACCAGAGGGGAGCGGCAGCTGGACCCAGGGTAACCCCCTGAGCCTGTCTCCAAGGGCCCTCCTTTTGCCTCTGTAACTTGTTTCCTGACTCCATGCAGCCCAGCTGGCTCACTTCTGCCTCTGTGACTTTCTTTCTGAAGGGCCAAAGCAGCTCCACCTAGGCTCATTCCTGTTGCTGTGATCTTGCCTCTTCCTCTGTTTCACTGTCCCAGCTTTAATAAATGTACTTTGAACAAACAAACAAACAAGACTTAAAAATATTGATTCTATGGTGTGATTCTAAAAAAATTATGGTAACTTCATTTTCAGGCTTTCAGTAGTCTGTTGGTTTACTTACTGTAACAGAAATAAATATAGATTGCACTGAGGTGTGTGGATATAAATAATTTTAAGGAAAAAATTAATTTTAGTCAAACTAGTGAGGTATAATATAAGGATAACAATAGTACCTACTTCACAGAGTAATAATGCACATTATTTTAACCTAGTACTTGGCACTTGGGAGGAAATCTTACAGACTCAGAGAAGAGCAGAAAGGGATATGGGAGGATAGCACAGATTATAATTTGATGGTTTTAGGTGGTTAAACCCCCTAATTGCAGAAGAAGAAGACTTATCTCCATTTTACAGATGAGGAAGCTAAGGCTCAGAGAAGTTAAATAGTAGGCTGGAGATTATATACCTTGTAATTGGTGGAGCTGACATTAGAACTGAGGTTTGTCTAACTCCAAAGCCTGTGCCTAAACCACTGTGCAATGTGCCCATCACCTGCTGCCAATCAACTATACTTGCTTTTCCACAGTTCATCCATTTATAACTAGAAATTATAATGTATAGGTGTTGATGTAAACAAAACTGACTCCATCTCTGTATCCCTGCTTTTGTTTCTCTTGGTGTTTCCATGCTCAGGACTCTGACTGACTAGTCTCAGCCAGCTTCAAAGCCTCAGTTAATGATTACTCTGTCCTGTAAACTTACACAATGTAATTTTAAAGATTCCTGTCAGTAAATGGCCAGAATGCCATAGCAACTGAGATAGATATCAAACTAGGTATTGGTGTCAATTCTAAGCAAGTATCCATCACAAGACCCCCAGGAGATATGTTTCCTGGCTTATAACTACTTACTTTGTTCCTTTGTCTTGTCAGTCATTAGTGGTTCAGCTATACTATAAAATATTGGCCATAATAACTGTCTGTTTGCAGAGGTTAGCTGTGCAGACCTAGACCACTGAATTGCCTGTCTTCTCTGATCTTACCCATTATAAGTTACTTACCCTATAATAAATTCTATTATAGTGAATGCACTTGCCTGCTTCATTTTTCAGTCTTAAGATACCTGTATGGGCCCTGGCTGGTTTGGCTCAGCGGTTAGAGCGTCGACCCACAGACCAATGAGTTGCAGGTTCGATTCCGGCCAAGGGCATGTACCTCGGTTGCAATTCATCCCCAGCCCTGGTTGAGGTCCTGCGGGGGGCAGCCACTCAATGTGTCCCTTTCACATGGATGTTTTTTTCTCTCTCACTCTCTCTCTCTCTCTCTCTCTTCCTCTCCCTCCCTCCCACTCTATCTGAACAAAAATGGAAAATGTCCTCGGGTGAGGATAAAAAAAATACCTGTATGGTTCAATGATCACTGTACCTCCATTCTACTTTCAGACATATAGTTTCTGACAAAGGCACAATTATGTATGCAGGTTTTTAATGTATGCAGTTTTAAACATCATAAGTATTTTTTGTTATTACAGTCTTCATAATTATAATTTTTAATGGTGGCATAACATTTCATCAAGCCTATGAATGTTATTGACTTACTGATTTACCTGTTAAGAGACAGTATGTATAGTGGTTAAGGGTACAGACTTTGGTACCTGGTTTAAATCCCACAGGGAGTCATACATTAGGTTAAACAGTACCTGGCTATATTACTACAGCCTGTATTGTTACTCATTCTGTCCCTCTAGTATTTTGGGAGTTACTAGTTTTTCTGATAGACAAAAGATAAATAATGATTGTATTGAATATCTTCATGCATTTGCTTTCTCCCTAATTTTGGATGATTTAAAAAAAATTTCTAGGAGAGATTATTGGATCAAAGTTTATGATCAATTGTATAGAACTTGAAATTATTATCAATTTTTTCCCAGAGGATTATATTTGAGCTTGTTTTATTTAATTTATCTTTATTGTTGAAAGTATTGCATACGTCTCTTCTTTTTCCCCCATTGACAGCCCCCACCCCACCCACTCCTTCACTGAACTGTTGTCTGTGTCCATTGGTTATGCATATATTCATATAAGTTCTGTGATTTATCTTTTCCCACCCCCCAAACCCCTTTTCTCGGAGGTTTGTCAGTCTGTTCTGGGCTTGTTTTAAATACCAGGTTCTACCCTGACCTACTGAACCGGAATCTTTGAAAGGGAGTGGCACCGGGAATCTGCATTTGTAGCAAGTAACCCCAAGTGATTCCTACTTGAGAATAATATATTAAATAATATATTAAAACTTGAGAACCATTGGCCTAAAAATCTCAAGGTGTTTCTTGATTGTTGTTGTTTGTTTTGTTTATAATGAAGAAGACTATTAATCATTGGCAGCTCTGGCAAAGTAGGGGTAATCAGTGAGGGTGGGGACTACTGAAGGAAGCAGGAGGATGGCACATTGATGGCCATTGGGCTGCTTGTGGGGATGTGTTTTTGGGTTATATGAAATTCAGGCGATTTAAGTTGGAACCCAATTGATCTATTTCGGAAACTCATTTTATTTAAGCCGCTTACAAGCCTTCTCATTACATATGATAATGTTTTATGCTTTGAACTATCTATATTATACTCAAACCCACCTCCCTCCTTGCCATGACATATCCTCACGTGGTCAGTCTAGTGGTGAACATCAGAAGGGGCATTAATTTGTCCCAGTTGTTTAGAATACATTTCATTTGGTTTAAATCTTTCTGAAAATTAAAAGGCAAGAAAAAAAAAGCTAGTGACACCTTTTCTTTTCTTTTTCAAAACAGCAAAAAAAAAAAACCCACCTTTTATTACTATTTTTATTATTATTATTTTTTTGGTACGTGCCCCTAGCAGAAATAGAACCCGGGTCTTTCTGGACCGCAGGCTGACGCTCTAACCACTGAGAAAACCGGCCAGGGCTTATTCATATTTTTTTTATCTTCTTCTTCAAGAAAGACCCGCCAACATTTCATACAACACTGGTTTGGTGGTGATGAGCTCTTTTAGCTTTTTCTTGTCTGGGAAACTCTTTATATGGCCATCAATTCTAAATGTTAGCTTTACAGGATAGAGTAATCTTGGTTGTAGGTCGTTACTTTTCATCTCTTTAAATATTTCTTGCCACTCCCTCCTGGCCAGCAGTTTCTTTGGAGAAATTGGCTGACAGCCTTATGGGAGCTCTGTTGTAGGTAACTAACTGCTTGCTGCTTTTAAGATTCTCTCTTTGTCCAGCTGGTGTGGCTCTGTGGTTGAGCATCAGCCCATGCACCAGGAGATCGCTGGTTCGATTTCTGGTCAGGACATATGCCCAGGTTGTGGACCCAATCGATCCCCAGCTGGGGGCATGAAGGAGGTGGCCAGTCGATGTTCTCTCTCATTGATGTTTCTATCTCTCTCTCCCTCTCCCTTCTTTTCTCTCTAAATTCAATAAAGGGGGAAAAAAGATTCTCTCTTTGTCTTTAACCTTTTGCATTTTGATGATGATGTGTCTTGGTGTGGGCCTCTTGGGGTTCATCTTGTGTGGGACTCTCTGTGCTTCCTGGACTTTATGTCTGTTTCCTTCACCAAGTTAAAGAAGTTTTCTGTCATTATTTTTTCAAATAGGTTTTCAATTTCTTGCCTTCTCTCTTCTTCTGGCACTCACATGATGTGAATGTTGGTATGCTTGAAGTCCCACAGGTTCCTTATACTATCATCATTTTTTTGGATTCCTTTTTCTTTTTGCTGTTCTGATTGGGTGTTTTTTGCTTCCTTATATTCTAAATCAATGGCTTGCTTCTTGGCTTCACTTCTCTACCATTGATTACCTGTAAATTATTCTTTACTTCAGTTAGTGCCTCCTTCATTTCTGACTGTTCCTTTATTATGCTCTTGAGGTCCTCACTAACTTCATTGAGCATCCTTATTAGCAGTGTTTTGAACTCTGCATCTATTAGATTGCTTATCTCCATTTCATTTAGTTCTTTTCCTGGAGTTTTGTTCTGTTCTTTCATTTGGGACATGTTTCTTTGTCTCCTTATTTTGGCTGCCTCCCTGTGTTTGTTTCTATGTGTTAGGTAGAGTTGCTGTGTCTCCTAGGCTTCCTAGGGTGGCTATTGTAGCAGCTGTCCTGCAGGTTCCAGTGGCACAGCCTCCCTGATCACCCAGCTGGGCCCTCGAGGTGCACCCCTCGTGTGGACTTTATACCCTTCTGTTGTAATTGAGTCTTGATGGTTGTTGGCACGTCAATGGGAGGGTTTACTCAGAGGGCTGATTAGCTGCAAGGACTGGCTATACCCACTAACCACCAACCACTGACTACCTTGGAGGATCAGCCGTGTAGGGGCCCACCACACAGAGCAAGACTTACTTCAGCGGGGCTCTGGTACCCACTGAGTCCACTCAGTGAGTGTGTCACTTGTGGAGGTGCTTGGGTGGTGGTGCTTTGATGTGGTCTGAAGCTGTCCACTGGGTGTGCTGGCTCTGGGGCCAGGTCAGCCACTGCCTGTGTTCTACCCAGGGCCACCAGGCATAAGCTACAAAGTGATCTGCCGATGGCTGCTTCTTATGCTGGGCTTGGAGGTGCCCATGCAAAGCCAAGTTGTGATCTAAGGCTGGCTGCTTCTAGTGCCACTTAGCGAGAGGTATGGGGTTCACTGTGTCCAAATGCTCCTTGTTTGAGAGAATTTAGGAAAATCTGAAGTAGGAGCCAAAACAGGCCAATCCTATGGTAAAGCCACTGGAAACAGCTTAGGTGGGCCTGAAAGTTGGGTGGGGCAGGACCTCAGAGAATCACCAAAGTGGGACAAACAGAGTGAACTAGGTTGCTGGAATCCCGGATATGGTGGCCATTTGCCTGCCCCGTGGGGGAAGGGCTCACCAAAGGAACACAGGCCTCCACCAGCATGTCTGTCCAGGAGAAAGCCACCTCTCCAGCCCTCGCCCCAATGCCAAGCAACTCAGTTCTTCCCCATATGTCTCTTGTGCCTTTCAAGCTGCCTCCCCTGTGTTGAAGCCCAAAAGGAGCAAGTCCAGGTAAGTCCCTGCACAGGCCCTTTAAGAGGAACTGCCTGGGGCTCCAGAAGCCTCAGCCTCCCTGAGCCTCAATTCCTGCTGGTTTTACATCCTGAAGTTATGGGGACTTCTCTTCCTGGCACTGGAACCCTGAGCGGGGCACCTGGTGTGGGACGGGGACCCCTCAGTCCTCAGGGAGGACCTTCCGTGTTGAGGTGTCCTCCTGATTTTTATCCGCCACACGTGGGTGTGGGACCAGCTTGTTGGGGCCTCTGCCCTCCTACCAGTCTGGATATGGCTGCTTCTTTAATTTCATAGTTGTAGGACTTCCATTCAGCTTGATTTCAGGCGGTTCTGAAGGATGTTTATTCTGTAGTTTAGTTGTAATTTTGATGTGGTTGTGGGAGGAGGTGATACTGTGTTTACCTTTGCCGCCATCTTGACCGGAAGTTGATGTTTCGCTCTCTCTCTCTCTTCCTCTCTCTCCCTCCCACTCTATCTGAACAAAAAACGAAAAAATGTCCTTAGGTGAGGATAAAAATAAATAGATAAATAAATAAAATAAAGTAAATGAAAACATAAGTTAGATGTGCTGACTCCTTGTATTTCTTTAAAAATATTTATATTTCTGACTTTCCAAATAAATGTATATGCATTTACCAAAATTAATTCAAATTACTGTTGTTTTTTTCAGGGGCCTTGTAGAGAAAAAAGAGATGGAATTGGTTTTAAGTAAGTTAGAAGCAGCACAGAAATACTTGGCACAGAAGTACTGTGTCCTTGTCCTGGGCTTGGGAATGCCCGATAAGCATCACATGTGCTGCGGAAAGTAAGTACACACTTAGGGTTTCATTCCATCTTTGCTAGTTTATATATTCATATCTTAAGACTCTTAAATTTGACTTTTGATGCCCTTGAGAAAGGTTCCTTTTTTGTTGTTCAGAGTAAATGGGCTCAGGTGAGGCACTGTCCAAACACATGTGATGTCTCTTTTGACAGAGTATAGGAAGAATCTCAGAATCTCAGCTGATATTTTAACAACCCTCTACCGCCTGGGTTTAAATATCTTTTCTCTCAGCATATTCAGCCAAATGGAATCTTGCTCTCAAGCAGGAAGTCTTCCTGCTGCCATACAAAGGCTACTTGGCTGCCTTTCAAGGGAGACCATGTGATGGACCAGTGTTGATGGGTATATTGGGTGTGTCCCCTGTCCTTTCTCTGCTTGTTTTGCAGCAAAAACAGTTGTGGGCACAAGGTAGTGATGAGGGGGTTATAAAATGACCCTGTTTGTGGGAAGGTAATTTTTACCTAAGGATGACAGTTTATACACTATGGTAATTAAAATTTAAAAGCGTCTCATCACAGGAAAGTTGGGATCACATTAGGGAAAGCACCAAACCTTAACCTAAAATCTCCTTCTTTGGGTAGTTTCACTGCAGGCTCAAGATCCACACATTGGTCATGGCCAGAACTGTGGTTTTTGTTTTGTTTTTTAATTTTTTTTATTTTAATTTAATCCTTACCTGAGGATGATCTGTTTTAGAGAGAGGAAGAGGGGTAGGAGAGACATCTATGTGAGAGAGAAACATCAATCGATTGCCTCCCATGCACACCTAACCAACTAAGCCACCCTGCCAGGACTCTTTTTTTTTTACTTTATAGGAAAAGAACCCAATATATGAATTCTCTCTCTCTACATTTTTCACGTTTTCAAAATACAGATATTTGTATATACTTTTTTTTCCTATATTTTCTATGTAACTTCTCCTATTATTCTACTTACATTATTTCACCTACCACTTTGAATAGCAACTATAGTTATTTTGTGCAATATACCAGTTTGCTTAACCATTCCTTTTGTGTACATTTGTGTGGTTTTAGTTTTTCAGCATTGAATATTTTTATATAAATTATTTTGTTCATTTAGGCTATTTTCTTATAGCTCATTATCCAGAATATTTACCTAGAGGGCATAAACAATTTTATAGCTCCTGTTAATATTGCCAGGTTCTCCAAAAAAGTTAAAACATTTCAAATCACCATCAGCCACAAGCATACCTGGTTTTATTAGTTTAATATTTTTGATAGCTCAAAGGTATATAAAAAGCTTAAAGGTATTTTATTTGACTTTGAATATCTTTTATGACTGTGGAATCTGTGCTTTTTTTCTGTGTATTGCCTGTTTCTCATCAGTTTTAACCATTTATCAAGTGGAAACTGGGAATTTAAATAATATATGTTTCATATGGCAAGGATCGGTCATTTGTTTTCTACTTTGTAGCTTTCCTTTTGATATTCGTGTTTTTACACATTGTGAAAGGTTATAATTTTTTATTTATTTGAACATTTCCAACTTGTTTCTGATGCTGTTTGATAGTCATATAACTTCTTGCATTCCTGGGTTCACTGTTCATTCCTGGGTTAAAATTCTTACTTTTCTTTTCTTCTTTAGAGAGAGAGGAAAGGAGAGTGAGAGAGAGATAGAAACATTGATGAGAGAGAACATCAATTGGCCGCCTCCTGCATGCCCCTCACTGGGGATTGGGCCCACAACCTGGGCATGTGCCCTGACCGGGAATTGAACCAGCGACCTCTTGGTGTATGGGTCAATGTTCAACCACTGAGCCACACTGGCCTTCCTTTCTTAGTTTTTAAAAATAGGATTCAAAGAAAATATTACTGTCTTCAATTCATATGAAATTTGTTACAACTTATTAGGTCAGATGAGCTATGAATCTAAGATACTTTTTCTTTACTAGCATTCAACTTTTCAATAATATTTATTAGTGATTTTTTTTCACGGCAAAATTTCTTGTTTATTAGATATTGATTTTTTTCTAATATTATAATGCATTTGGGGAAATTCCTATTTAATTTTATTGATCAGTTTTTCTGTTTAAATACAGAACTATATAATTTATATCTTGCTTTGCTTTATTCAGCAAACATTATTGAGTGCCTGCTCTGTGGTAGTTGTGGTGGTAAGTGCTAGGTAGGGTACAAAGAAAACAGTTTCTGCCATCAAGGAGCATGTAGTCTAATGGAGGAGTCATCAGGTAAGGAAATCAGCAATTGGGGATAGGTGCAGTACAGGTATAGACAGAGATTGGGCACCCAAAGCAGAAGAGAGGAGAGGTGGACCTCAGGGAGACTTGACTGTGGAGCACAGGCAGTGAGCCAGGTTGGAAAGGGGGTGATCTTACAGCTGAAAACAATGAGCTCATTCCTATTACTTTCAGAAAACTTGTATTTGACAATCTTGCTTATTTGAGATAAATTTCACTATTAATCAAGTTCTAAAAGATATCAAGAACCTTTCATTGTATATTATATTAAAACCTATACATTAGCTTAGAATAGCAATTTTCAACCTTTTTTATTTCATGGCACACAAACTAATTACTAAAATTCTGCAGTATACCAAAAAATATACTTTTTGCCAAGCTGACAAGAAAAATAGGTATAATTTTTATTGGTTTACAATAATAATAGTAATAATAATAATAATAGTAATTACCTACCCTTTCTTCTCCAAAGTGACTTCTTAAAAAATCAGGTGCCTATACTTGTATATAAGGATTTCTGGTACCAAGACTTAACCAATCAGGTACAACCTTATTATGCAATGTGATCAGTAAGATTCAATCCTATTATATGACCTATATATTTATGATTCAAGACAGGGCATTCACACCAGACTGTTATTGTTGTCTGGGCTGTTGTCATTATTTTATTTGATAATCTAAAGGAAACAAGGTCAGTACCCTTGACTAAATAGTCAGGTATAGCATATTTAAAAAATTCTTGCTGCACACCAGTTGACAATCTCGGACATCTTTACTGTATTGAATCCTCTTAAAAAGCTGTAAGATGTATTCTCCATTTATTAATATTATTCTTTATTTCTCCAATTAAAGCTGTATTAATAAATCTTTAAAGAAATTTATGTGGTCCTAAGTTAGATTGGCACGCATGTATTTAATTTTTTTATACCAATATAAAGTTTTTGTTTGTTTATTTATTTCTAATCCTCACCCGAGGTTATTTCTCCATTTATCTTCGGATAGAGTAGGAGGGGCGGGAGGGAGAGAAAAAGAGAAAGCGAAAGAAACATTGGTGCAAGAGAGACACATTGACCGGCTGCCTCCTGCACGATCCCGACCGGGGCCGGGGACCAAACCGCAACTGAGGCACGTGCCTTTGACTGGAATCGAACCCGAGACTCTTTGGTCTGCAGGCCAACACTCCAACTGCTGAGCCAAACCTATTTCTTACCTATATACAATTTTTAATTATTTCTTTGGATTTTCTAGGTATGTAGTCATATCATCTGTAAAAGGTAGCTTTTACATTTTTTTTTTTCCTAGAATAATATTTAAATTTTTAAAAATTTGCCAGAAATAGTAGCATTTCTTGTGTCTAATTCTATTAAAGAAGTGACTAGAGATGTCTGGCCAGTGTGGCTCAGTGGTTGAGTGTCAACCCATGCACCAAAGGTCCCTGGTTCAATTCCTGGTCAGGGCACATGCCCAGGTTGTGGGCCCAATCCCCAGTGAGGGGCATGCAGGAGGCGGCCAATTGATGTTCTCTCTCATCAATGTTTCTATCTCTCTCTCTCCCATCCTCTTTCTCTAAAATCAATAAAGAAAAAAAAAAAAAGAAAAAGAAATGACTAAAGTCAGCCTTATCTTTTTTTCTGTTTTAGGAGACTAAACTAGCATTTGCTATTTGTTGATTGTGTTGACCCTTAGTTTATTTATTTATTTTAGGCACAAATGTCCACATTTATTTAAAATAAGAAAAAAAAAAGTAACAAATTCAAAATTTAGAACAGTGGAAAAAAAAACCCTCAAAAACATCATAAGATCCAGAGAAATAATATTTTTAAATTAACTGCCAACACATCTATATAATACTTTTCCACAGACTAGCTTCTGGCTTCATATATTTGTAATCTTGTTTTTTCTCTATGACTCATATAATTCCAATGCTGGAGTCCATAGAAATGTTCATATCATTATAGGACTTTTTTTTTTATCCTCACTCGAGGACATTTTTTGATATTTTGTTCAGATAGAGTGGGAGGGAGAGAGAGAGAGAGAGAGAGACATCGACATGAAAGGGACACATCGAGTGGTTGCCACCCACACGACCCAACCAGGGCCAGGGACAAACTGCAGTCGAGGTACGTGCCCTTGGCGGGAACCGAACCCGGGTCTCTCCAGATTGCAGGCCAACTTTCTAACCATTGAGCCACACGGGCCAGGGCCTTGCTGTTTATAAAATTGATTAATAGTCATGTAAAAAAAATTAAACAATATAGAAAAAGGAAATGGTAAATCTGTAGAAATATTTACAAAAAGAAAAGTCAGGCCCTGGCCCGTTTTGCTCAGTGGTTAGGGCATAGGCCTGTGGACCAGAGAGGCCAGGGTTCAGTTCCCACTAAGGACATGTACCTCGGTTGCAGTTTGTCCCCGGTCCCGGTTGGGGTCATGTAGGTGGCAGCCGCTCGATGTTTCTCTCTCTCTTCCTCCCCCTCTCCGTCCTGCTCTATCTGAAGGTAAATGCAAAAAAAAAAAAAAAGTCCTTGGGTGAGGATAAAAAAAAAAGAAAAGTAAGGATGGGCAGAGACTATTAGAATATTCATTCTTTAGTTGGAGTCGATTTTCTCCAAACTTCTCCAGGGTCCAAGGGGCTTGCATATGTTCTCTCATTTCTTCTTGGCTATTTATAAGGTCTATAAAGTTTAAAAACAAAAATGCATATGAGGTTTTCCTCAAACAGGGCTTGGTGTTTATAGATGTTTATATTGATTTATTTTCAGTCCAG